GACTGGGGATCGAGCCCACAACCGTGGGTCCATTCCCAACTGCTTAGCCATGCTCAGCAGGGCTAGTAGTGTACTCTTTTTAAAAATTACATGTATGTTGGGCCTCATTGCATATTTACTGTTTTCTCTGGTTTTGATTACACTGATAGCTGGGTGCTGGAAAAAGAAAAGGTGATTAGATCCTTTTTTTTCTTTCATTGCCAGCAAATAAAAAAAAAAATCCTTACCTTAAATGTTGTAACTACTACTGCCTGAAAAAACATTGCTGAATACCTATACACACTTATTTAGATGCAGGATCTCCAAAGGAGGAAGAGGGAGGTAGAGATGTACCTTTGATTTCTCCAGCCACCCAGCCTCTTCCCCCTGGCTATTTGTTCACATAAAATAGTGTGTGTCTGGTATGAAAAGATTTGTCAATGCCCTGTGAGGGAAGGATTTTATTTGTATAGAGGCCCTAGTACTTGAATGGAAAAGTGTGGAATTAATATGTCTCTTTTCATTTTGCAAAAGCTACTTTGTGTTCCATTGCATAGAATTCTTTTATTTTTTTGCAAACAAAAAACTCTTATGCCTTATAATAGATGAATGAAGAAATGCTATGCCAAGAATTTGGAAGATTTGGACCATTAGCCAGTGTGAAAATTATGTGGCCTAGAACTGATGAAGAAAGAGCCAGAGAGAGAAATTGTGGTTTTGTGGCCTTTATGAATAGAAGAGATGCTGAAAGAGCTTTAAAAAATTTAAATGGTAAGAAAACTTTTATTGTCTGTTAATAGAATTCAGACTTTTGTTTTGGTTCTGGAAAGTATTTATAAAGACATTGGAGAAGAAAAGTGAATGAGGCATGGAAAGGTTAAAAGTTAATTTAAGTCCAAGGTATCTTTTCTTTCTTTTTTTTTTGCGAGTTATTACCAAGGTAACCTTTCTTTCCTTTCTTGTAGGAAAGATGATTATGTCTTTTGAAATGAAGTTAGGTTGGGGTAAAGCTGTGCCTATTCCTCCACATCCAATATACATTCCGCCTTCTATGATGGAACATACGCTTCCCCCACCTCCATCAGGACTGCCTTTTAATGCGCAGCCTAGAGAGCGGTTAAAAAACCCCAATGCTCCCATGTTACCGCCACCTAAAAACAAGGAGGATTTTGAGAAGGTAATTTTAAAAATGTACCTAGGGCCACATATATTTGTAAATACTGAATCTGTGGTAGTATTTCTTTTCAACAATTTTATAGAAAATGTGTAATTCTGTTTGGCAACTCTTAAGTAGATGTGTGTTCCCTGCCTTAGCCCATGGAAACCCTGTTTGAAATACTAGGTTCTATTTTTATTGTGGCTACCATTCCTTTTTGACCACTTATTAAGTCCTGCTCACCCCAGCCCCCCATTTGTCCACTCTTGTATTCTGGTTTGCTTAAGTACAGTATCTAAATTTACTTTGTTCTGAGAAAGTGATGCTTTGTATTTAGTTGAGTGACTTTTCAGTAGAAGGACCTCCTAAATAGTTTAACTGTTTGGATGGCAGCTAGCTAACTTAGTTCTCAAAATCTGAGGTATTAGAATATTTAAGAGCCTATATGGTTTTTAAAAAACATTAACTACTCTAGTAAAAGCAAAGGGTGAGTATTTTCTTTTTATTAAACATAAAACCAACTTATTTCAAGTTATAAGAATTTGTTGGTTTCATTATGAGTTAATTACACTTAAAATGGCAGGGCTGGTTTTAAAGGCTTGGGAACAAAGTAGCAAACTGTATTATGGTCAGAAGCAAACAGTTAATTATTTCACAAATTAAAATCTTTATCTGATAATTCTCAGTGTAGTACCTATTTCAGTGCATTGATGTGCATTCTGGCAGGAATGTTCTGATTCTTTGCATTTGGTGAACATTTATTGTTCACTGGACACATCCATTTGCTTTTATGTAATTGCTTAGTGTATAATTACTTCAAAAGCAGTGATTGCCTGCAAAACTTGTGATTAGATGTGTAGTATTTTCATTGCATATGTATATTTTTGCTTGTTACTTGTTAACAATACTCACATATTCTATGTTTATTATCTGATGTGACTTCATATACAGACTCTGTCGCAAGCCATAGTCAAAGTGGTTATCCCAACAGAAAGGTACATGTTTTTCTTTATTATTACTGATCTAAATATAGACAATATCCCCTTCTGAATTAAAAAAAAAAAATGGTGTTGAGGAAAAGGTGATATCTTGACTGAGCAATGGTTTCTTCCCAGTACTTTTTTGGGGATGTGTGAAATTTAACTAACTTTAGTATACCGTGCAATTTTATGTTATTATCTGTTTTGTTTTTGTTACCATTGTAGGGAATTTTATAGCTTTAGTAGTTAGAATGTGTTTAATAGATTTAATCTGGTGTTGTTAGTCTAATCATATTAGAGTATTGTTATGGGAAAATAAGGGTTTTAAATGTATCTTCAATCTTAGATAATATAGTTTGGCCCAATCTGTTATTTTTTTCTTTGTTTCTGAATTGTCTGTGTTTAATATGCAATGTTAGTTTGAGTTTCCTTATTGAAGGCATAGCTTTGTTTTTTTCTGATTGAATTTAAGAAGGAATTCCTATTATTTTAATGAACACTAAACATATTAGAAACTTTTAAAATGATAACAAAGTTGTTTGGAATTCTTTTATTTTCATTTCTTTTTTCTTTTCAACATAATGTTGAAGCAGAAGAATTCATGCGTAGGTATGCTCTTGCTCAGTCAAGCTAAGCCTTTTCCCAAACACAGGAACACAACACTGGTTGAATAATAAATGAACACAAAAGAATACCAAATTCTCTTTGACATTGGCCTTGGTGAGCAACACCAGCTGAACTGTCTGCGGCAGCGGGGGACCAGGAAAACATCATGGGATGGATTGGGAAAGTATACAGTTTTTGACCAGACATTGGTACGATCGACTCCAATAAATGTGGTGGTTTTATTATAACTGAGAAACATTTTTTTTTTTGGTTGTTGTTGCCCAAAATAAGATAATTATTTAAAAATAAATAGGACACTTAAAATATATCGCCTTTTTGTACTACACTGTTTCATTCTGATAAAAAAGTCACCCTTTTTAAAATAAGAGACACATAACTTTAAGGAAAAAGAGTGTAATTACAGTAATTAATGTTGAATTCAAGTTAGCAACAATTAATTGTCAGATTCTGATTTTAAATAATATATGCAACATTTTAAAACTTCTTTTAAACTTTAAATTTTCTAAAAATAGATTTTATCAGTTACAAGCCTGTTTAAAACTGTAGTGGGTTTTTTCTTCCACTCATAAATCATTCACAGAAAAGTATTTTGTAGCATTCAAAAGCATATATCAAGTAGTAGCTGTACATGTTGGTCAGCTTCTTTCTAAACAAAATTTTGAGTACATTTTGCTAAAAAGTCTTGACTCACCATTAGAATGAATCCTATGTTCTAAACTTGCTAAACCATTTTTAATCTATCTTTAATACCTAAGTCAAGTTACTTTTGACTTAATTCATACAAGTTTCTGAATATATAGCATTTATCCACCTAGAAAGTGACTTTATATATTATGATACATAAAATTTCGCTTCACTTTAACATACCAGTGGGAATTTTGGAAGTGAATCATAACTTTACACAATGTTCCTTTCTTTAAAATGTCACTAACTGTGGATCTGAGAATACATTCATTCTCATTTGGATATCAAAATCTACAAATTTGCAGAGCATCTAATACTTCTGTAAAGAAAAATATTTAGATTTAAAATTAAATAATGCTTTTTGGCTCAGTAGTTTTAAGTGTGTAGTTTCCCCTTTGTAAAGATTTAAACCTTCATATAATTTTTTGACCTCTTTTAGGATCTTTTAGGATCCTAAAGTTTGGGAGGTCAGAAAATTCATTTTTCCCCCCACTATGTAGAGATTTTAGTGTCCACTTAAGTAGGTTTGTTTGAAAACAGAAAGTAATTGTAATCAACATGAACTAAATTATTTTACTATTCATGTACTCTGAATTCTAGAGCCAAAAAAAATTCTGTCTTATTCTGTAACTATATATTTATTTATATTTTAGCAGTTATTTAATTTCTTGATTTGAGCTGGGAATGCTAAAGGTATAATTTAGTGTGTGCCTTGTACCAAGAGCCAATATCCTTTTGCTTTTCCCAATTATTATTTGCCAACTCTATGCTGGGGGACTGGTGAAATGAGAAATCAAGAGCAGCTTATAGTAAGTTGAGTCATTTTGCCTGGCATCATAACTGATGTCTAAAATTCTGTTTGGAGTCTAATAAGGTTAAGGTATCATTATTTTAGAACCCAGCTTCAGATTTTAAAAATAAAGACTTTTTATGAGCCCCTCCCAGAAAATGAATGTGTTAAAAAGTTACATGTTTATTTTTGTCTTAAATATTGGAAAGTAATTGTTATGAAAAATGTGAAGGGCATCCCACCCATGTCCCTTATTTTGGAATATTTTGGAAAGAGGACTCCATTTACTTAAGGCTTTGGCAATATAATTGCTTCATTGATTCATAACACACAGGCAGAATTATACATGTCATGAGTTCTGTGAATTAGGTTTGAAGTGTGGTCCAAAGGGATGTTGCCTCATTAAAGGTCAGATTCAATAAAAACTCCATCTGCTATATGTGTACCAGAAAAGCACAGGAGTTGGGTGGATTTTTTTATTAAATCAGGCCTTAAAATTTGTTAAATAGTTTTACATTTTTACAAATGATAGTCATGTGTATAACATTCCAATATCACCACAAAAGTGCTTGGTTTAGGAATATTTTCTTTTAAAATTCAGATATTGTGTAAGTTTTTAGATGGCTGTGATAACATGTAAGCTCGAAGTTACTGATATATATTTGCAGCTTTTTAATTAGTTGTGATTCATAATTTAATGTTCCGCATTTGGAAAATGAAATTAAGTGGCATTTAGAAATTTAAATCTTTATTGCTATGAAGCTGTGTTGTGATTTTCCACCCTCCCTTTTACCTTTCCTTCCCCTCCCACTCCCCTGTCCCCCTGTCCTACTCCCTCTTAATGCACGAGGCATTAACATATGCTCCAGGTTACTTTTTTGGTATAAGATTCTGTATTAGTCAGCAGAATAATTTTTTTTCTGCACAATATAGTAGCTTAGGTCAAGTGTAGCTTTATATAGTGGTAGGTCTGAATCCATTTTCTTTAACTGTGTTGTTGTTGTAGGAATTTGCTCGCCCTGATACATCGAATGATAGAGTTTGTTGTACGTGAAGGGCCAATGTTTGAAGCTATGATTATGAACAGAGAAATCAACAATCCCATGTTCAGGTGTGCATTTTTTTGACTGTGATAAAATACATATATAACATAAAACTTACTGTTTTTACATGTACGGTTCAGTGGTATTAAGTATGTTCACATAGTTGTGTAACTGTCACCACTATTCATTTCCAAAACTCTCATCTTCCATAACTGAAACTTGTACCACTTAACTTCCCATTCCCTTCGTCCCCCCAGCCCCCTGGCAGCCACCATTCTACTCTCTTTGAATTTGGTCACTCTAGGTACCTCCTGTAAGTGGAATCATACAGTATTTGTACTTTTGTGACTGGTTTATTTCACTTAGCATAATGTCTTTAAGGGTTGCCCATGTCGTAGCACTGGTCAAAATTTCATTACTTTAAAGTCTGAAATATATTCCATTGCATGTATGTACCACATTTCATTTATCATCAGGTATGAATTTTAAAAATACTTTCCGCTTCATTTTTGAAACTAAAGATATTTCCAAGAATAAAGTTCTAAAAGTACCAGGTTACTTTTGCAATGGAATGAAAAGGCAGTTCTAGTAATTGAGCTAGAATGTACTTCTGTCAGTTTGCCATCTGATTTTTGATTTGATCAGATAGCGTTGTTTTTAGCATTCTCTAGGAGGAAAATATATTTCAGTATGCTTTTCAACCAAGGAGTCTTTCATAAGTGAGATATAGTAGAACAAATGAGGTTTATAGGAAATTGCTTATCTTCTGAATAGATACATTTAAGACATTCATTTAACACTCTTAAGTAGTTTAGAGACCATTGTTTAAAGTTATATCTTGGGAGAAATCTCTTCATTGTCAGACACAGTATCTGGCACATTTTATTGAATACAGTAAAATTGTAAGACTCAGCAAGATGCAAACATACGTTTGGGGTGTTAATGTCAGGCATGAAGGCCGTCGGGCTGGGGTGAGGAAGGGGATAGATGGCACAAGACATGAGTAAGGATTTCTCTTCAGGGATCTTTGCTTTTGGTTTTATTTTGAACTAAGTAGGCAAATAATGTTTCTCATTTGTTTACATTTGCTTGAATACAGTTCTTTGTTAAAGAATGTGATGTTTAACTTGTTTTGTTTCAGGTTCTTATTTGAAAACCAGACACCAGCTCATGTTTACTATAGGTGGAAGCTTTATTCTATTCTACAGGCAAGTAGAATCAATTACTTGGTTAATTTTGACTGAGGTATTGGAGTTTTCTAACAACATTCTGGTTGTTTATTAGGGAGATTCTCCAACTAAGTGGCGGACGGAAGATTTTCGTATGTTCAAAAATGGATCTTTTTGGAGGCCACCACCATTAAATCCATACCTGCATGGGATGTCAGAAGAGCAAGAAACAGAAGCTTTTGTAGAGGAACCTAGTAAAAAGGGAGCACTTAAGGAAGAGTAAGATTTTCCCCTTCTGTTACACATTCAGAAAAGTCTCTTTAATGGTTGCTTTAATTAATGGTTATACTAAGATGTTAACCTTAAAATATACTTTTTACATGCGTTTAAACATCTTAGCAAGTATAAATGTCTATCCTGTTGACTTCGATCTTGCCCTATGGATAAGATTCGTGATGATTTTTTTTGGATTTTTAAAAAAATATATATCTTTATTGATTTCAGAGAGAGGAAAGGAGAGGGAGAGAGAGATAGAAACATCAATGATGAGAAAGTCATCGATGGAGCCCGCAACCCGGGCATGTGCCCTGACCGGGAATCGAACCCCGATCGCCTGGATCCTAGGTCGACGCTCAACTGCTGAGCCACGCCCGGCGGGGCCATGATGATTTTTTAAGCAGTGATTTTCTAGTAGTGGAACACTTCAAATTCTTACAGGAATTATCTCAAGAGTCTTAGAATTCTTGCCTCTCTGAATACATTGTAAAGGCAAAGTTACTGTATGGCTTGGGAAGGTCAGATGGCTGACTGGTGAAACTTCTCTCCAGAGCTTGCATTGTGTGGCCGCCATGGACGCATGTGTTATTACTAGTGCTCCATCAGCTCTGGTCCAGTGAAGTGAGCCTGATTTCAGAAGCAGAAACAGCTTTTCACAGGTGGCTGCTGGCGATGTTGGAGGAACAGGTCCTGGTGCTCAGAGGTGAAAGCCATCTGGGCAACTGGCAGCCATCGTGGCCAAGCAGGTGCTGCTGGGCCAAAGGCAGTGGTTGTGTACTGTGAGGGCATCAACATTTCTGACAGTTTCTACAGAAACAAGTTGAAATAACTGGCCTTCCTCCACAAGCAGGTGAACACCCCCCCGTGGTCCTCATCACTTCCCAGCCCCAGCTGCACCTCCTGGTGAACTGTGGGAGGCTTGCTGCTGTACAAGACCAAGCGAGGCCAGGCCACCTTGGACCGCCTCCAGCTGTTTGATGGGATCCCACCGTCCTGTGTGAATGGTGGTTCCCACTGCTCTCAAGGCTGTGTGTCTTAAGCCTTTGTGGAAAGAAGTTTGCCTTCCTAGGGTATCAGGCTCATTAGGCTTCCTTGGAAGTACCAGGCAGTCACAGGCACTCTGGAGGAGAAGAGGAAGGAGAAACCAAGAGCTGTTACCTGAAGGAAAAGCAGCTCATGAGGCTGCGGAAGCAGGTGGAAAAGAACATGGAGAAGATGATTGACACACACACAGAGGTCCATCCTCAGGACTCCTGGACTTCCAATCTGAGCCAGTAAAATGGACTTAATTCCTAATGCTGGGCCTGGCCTGCCCTTCCTCCATCGCACCCTAGGATATAGGGAACCCCCAGAGCTGTTGTCTGGGGCCACAGGCACTGTGGATCTTAGAAGACTGGGAACACAGGAGGGCCTTAGTAACTGCTGTTTAAGAAATGCCTTTTAGAAAATTTAAATGGCTCTAAGAGTTAGGCAGGCATAATTTCTATGACCTACTCATTCATGAGGGTTTTAGGAAATCAGCAGTTAGAACAGCCAGTTCAGTTTCAGTATTTACAAGTAAGCTAGAAAACACAAGTTTCACTGTCCCACATGGTCAGATACTGCACTCTGCGGCATGGATGTGTGATGCTGGGGGAGGGTGAGCCTGGTGTAAGGTGTCATAGGTGCTTGGCTTGGGTTGGACAGCCTTGGAGGCACAGGCATTGCCCTTGCGCCCTTCCTGTACCTTGTGGTCAGAAACAAATTTTTAAAGAAAATAAAATATTTAACTATTAAATGTTCAGAGGAAGTTCTCTATACCTCATGGAAAAAGAATTTTGAGCATATAGGACTATATACTTGATTGCATAGTCTATAAATCTAAACCTGTTTTTATGGATGCATTGTTTGTGAGACCATGTGGTGATGGAGAACTGTAGTATTTGAAAGTATATTTGCTTCTGAAGATACATGTTCATCATTACTTTTGCCTAGGGGTCCACAGACTGAGCCCACAGGCTAAATCTGGCTGCCTTTTGTTTTTGTAAATAAAATTTTATTAGAACACAGACATGTCCATTTCTCTACATGCTATCTATGGCTGCTGTGGGGTTACAGTAGAGTCGAGTAACTGACAAGGACTATGTGGTCCTCAAGGCCTGTAAGATACTTACACTGTCTGATCCTTTACAGAAGGTTGTCAGCCTTGCATTAGCCTGTCCTGTAGGAGGTGCCATGTACGAGTGCTAAAGTAACAGACTCCCTCCAAGGAGGGCAAAGACATGAAGGTTCTTCAATATAGTGCTGGAATAGGACTGGGATACTCTCAAATACTCTTGAAAAAGTGCACATAATTTTAAATGTACTTAATTTGTAAACTAAAAAATCACTGGAATCATTTATTAGTTTAAGGCCAGGAAAATTATTCTTCCTCATATAAATTCTTAAAAAAAAAAAAAGTAACATACTTGGACTTACTACAAATCAAATTTAACATAATTTAATTCTCAGAATTATTTTACTGATTGGGTTTTAAAGAAATTAGTTATGAGCAGAAACTATAATGGCATTTGAAATTTGTATTTATAAATATTTAAGTTTACAAAATTTGTATTTAGACAGAGGGACAAATTAGAAGAAATCCTGCGGGGGTTAACGCCACGGAAAAATGATATTGGAGATGCAATGGTTTTCTGTCTTAATAATGCCGAAGCTGCTGAAGAAATAGTGGATTGCATTACTGAGTCATTGTCAATCCTGAAGACACCCCTTCCCAAAAAGGTATGGGAATGATTTTTCTTTATAGAACATTTAATTAAATAAAAAGGGAGATAATAGTTGACTCTTTGGATTGAAATTGGTTTCCTTTTTGCATGAGGAACTTGACTGAAGAAATCTCTTTTTTATGCAGTCTTGTTAATTGACACAAGTTATCAACAGGTTGAAATGTAAATGTGTTACAATTTTATCCCTGCAAAAGTCATGGCTGTGGTGAGGTTGACTTTCTTATAACTATTCTAACTAGTCACGATTATTAAATTACAAACAGCCGTATGACACTAATTAAAAAAAATTCAGTATGGAATTTTTTTCTAGATAATACATTGCTGATGGTTTTTAATCAGTTTTATGTTCTCTTTCGACATTCTAGATTGCCAGATTATATTTGGTTTCTGATGTTTTGTACAACTCTTCAGCAAAAGTTGCCAATGCTTCATATTATAGAAAATTGTAAGTATAATGGTGTAAAATGATATTTGTGAAATAAAATATTTAAGGGTAAGGAGTTCAGAAGAGAGGACTGTTTTGTTAACACCCTCCAATAATAAATAATTTTAATTTCTTGTAGTTATAGAATATTCTAAAAAATTAGATTGCATTCATTGAACTAAACCATTTTAAGCTAAATTAGCAAGTTTTTATGTAAGTTTCTTGGTTAACTTGGTAATAAGACAAATAGGCAGTAACACTGTTTTTATTGACTATTTAGCCACTTGTATAGTAAATATGCTGAAACAATGGCAAACATAAAAGGAAGAGACAAAAAACAAAGCATGAGCTATAGAATATATGTTTTCTTCTGATCATCATTGTATTGTTGTAGTTCATTGCTAATGCTTTCCTAGGCAATAGGAAATTATGTCGCTCTACTGTAATTAATATAGAACTCTTCATAATTCCCCAGAGTTCCTTTTGGGGTTTATGAATTGGAGAAGTTTTTTCCAGTAACTGAAACAAAGGAAATTTGGAGGTGTGGGTTCTAATCGTAGCTCTGCCATTAGTTTTTTTGCCTTAGAAAAGTCACTTAACTCTTTTGTTTCCTTTTTTATAAAATAGAGATGAGACTAGATGGCTCAAAGTGTCCTAGGTGTAAAGTTCCTTGCTAATCAAGAGAACTACTACTTAAGACTTTTGTGGATTTTGCAGGAGAAAAATTCAGAATTATAGGAGTTAAAGCAGCTGAATTACAGTTTTAGAGTTTAAGCACCTAGTTCTTGATTTTTAAAAGATTACTTAATTTATTTGTAAGTTTGTGGAGTTTTTTTAGGTCCAGGAGGGGTTGGTTAGCATGCTGAAGTAGATAGGGATTTTTAAACAAATTCTACTATAAATATATTATTTCAATTTCAGTTTTGAAACAAAGTTATGTCAGATATTTTCAGACCTCAATGCTACCTATCGAACGATTCAAGGCCATTTACAGTCTGAAAACTTTAAGGTATGTGTACTGTTTTATTACTTATGCCTTAGTGTTCAGTATGGGGCCTGGGGGCTGAGAAGCATATTGGAGAGCTGGAAAAGTACCTAGGACAAGTATAAAACATAATTTGCACGATTCAGAAATTGTTCTGAAATTTACTGTAGTGTTCAGAAAAATACCCGAAAATTTAAAATATATTATCTAGTGTTGTTTTGTTGAGTGTTTGTTTAAGTTTTTAAGTATTTTATTTAAATACATTGAATATTAATCTTTCTTTCCAGAAAACATATTCAGAAGCTCATTTGTCTGTAATGGTATACAGTAATGCACTGCACAAGGATGGTTCAGTAAAAGGCGGTGGAGTTTCCACAAGATTGTAGTGGAACTGAAACTCCTAGCCTAGTGGTGGTGTAGCCACCGTAAAGCCTAGTGCAGCACCTTCTCACATGCTTGTAATGAGACTCGGGTAAACACACCTATTGTGCTGTCAGTCACATAAAAGTGTGGTACATACAGTTATGTATAGTCATAATATTTGATAAGGAATGACTTATTATTAATCCTCATTCGAGGATATTTTTCCATTTATTTTTAGAGAGAGTGGAAGGGAGGGAGAAGGAGAGAGAGACATACACACACATCGATTAGTTGCCTCCCACACAAGCCCCTACAGGGATTGAGCCTGGTACCATTCAGTGTGAGTGCTGATGCTCTAATCACTGAGGCACACTGGCCAGGGCACTTTTATCATTATTTTAGAGTGTGCTCTTTCTAAAAAAATGTTTGTTGTAAAATACTATGTTGTGTTACCTGGCAGCAGCCTCATAAATCTCTCGAATATCATTTTCTCTTGTGCTTGATTTAATCTCATGTTTTGTACAGTAACATGCTGCATAGGCATGTAGTCCAGGAGCAGTAGGCTGTGAAGCCTAGGAGGGTCCTAGCTGTACCATCTAGGTTTGTGTAAGTGCACTCTCTGATGTTTGCACAATGATGAAATTGGTTAATGATGCATTTCATAGAATGTATCCCCGCTGTTAAGCAGCCCATGACTTTTATGATTTGGCTGGATTAGGAACATACACTTTAGTTATTCATGTTTACAAAGTATGTGCATTACTAATTTTTATAACCTCTTAAGCTGTAAACTAATGTTAAGAAAAGCCAAGCAAAATACCTTATAATTGAATAAATAGATATATTTTCATGGGAGGAATACTTTTGTAAGGAAATTTTTTAGCTTGGGAAGATGCCCAATGACTCCACTATTTAGGGTATCCAAACAAACAACACTTAAATTTTTTTTTTTTTACCTTAAATGTTGATCACAAGTCAGAGTTCATATAGAGAGGTTTAGGGATGGGACAGAAAAGAAGTGTTAGCCAGAATTAGGAAGTACTTCATTGGACTATAAAGGAATTTGGGTCATATCTTGCCTACCTTGATATGCAGCTTACCTAAGTTTCTAAGATAATGTTTTGCAGAAGTGGCCTCATGTGTACCATTAGTGGTGTGGATCTTAGGTGATCAAGAGCAAATAGTGTTTCTTTTTCATTATATTTATTTTGAGTGTGTTTTTTTTTTAATTAAAAGGTGACACTGATTTGTTTAAAATCATGGCAATGATAGTTATTTTCTTTAAATTTTAAAAAGAATGTTAATTTAAAGAAAAATTCAGCAAATTGTAACGTTCATTCTCATGAGATGAAGTTTGAGACATATTGTCGTAAATAATAATTTGTTGTGTTTTTCTTATTTAGCAACGGGTAATGACCTGCTTCAGAGCATGGGAAGATTGGGCAATTTACCCAGAACCATTTTTGATCAAACTACAAAATATTTTCTTAGGACTTGTAAATATTATTGAAGAAAAAGAAACAGAGGTAGGCACTCAGTGTATTTTTCTAATTATTTTATTGATTGCGTCTCTCCTTTCCTCTCTTTCTAAATTCAGAGACAGAAACCTAGAAACATGGATTTGTTGTTCCCCTTACTTATGCATCACTGGTTGATTCTTGTATGTGCTATGACCGGGGGTCAAACCCACAACCTTGGTGTATACCAGCTTAGCTACCCGACCAGGGCTGTGTCCGATTATTTTAAAATTTATTTCTGGGGATGCTGTGGAGGTGTGATACCTTACAGATGTAACATTTCTTCATGAAAATACTTACTCTTCACCACTAAGTAGTGGATTTAGTTACTGGAATTCCTAGAACCTAGGAGTTGAAATTATTTGTAACAGGAATTCTCTGTTTTGGGTTCTTATGTGAAAATCAGTGGCTGGTTTTTTATTTGATGATGTGAAAAGATTTACAATATAATAATAGAAAAAAACAAGTAGTAGAGCAATATACTGAGCATGATTTCATTTTGTTAGACTAAAGATAACTCTATAAGAAAATATGTACATGAAAAGATGTACCACAATGATAGTGGGTTCTATTCGTCACTGTTCTGTTGCTTTTTATCTCCTCAGTAGTCGAATCCTTCATCTTTATAATTCTAATCCAGGTGTCATATTTTATATTTTCACTTTCATTCTTTCAAGATCCTCCTAATTGACCTCCCTACTCCAGACACATTGGTCCTTGTTTCAATTTTTATTTTCTTCAGTGTACAATGTTTCCTCCTACCATAGACCTTTGTACATGTTTTCCCTTCTTTCTGGAACATGATTTTTATTTTACCTGAAATCCTTCACACCCCAGTTTAAGCATAACTTCATAGAGTCTTCTCTGACTTCTGTAGGTGAAACTGACTTACTATGTACTCTAAGTATGATGTACCCCTTGTTTTAGCATTTGTCTGAGTTGCAGCTATCTGTATGTTATTGTGATTATCTGATTGTCTGGCTTTCCCCTCCCCCCAAATTCTAAGCTCTGTGACAGAAGGGACCAAGGGACTAAGCTTGTTGTAAGCTCATTGTTGTGTCCTTGGTGCCTCACATGGCACCTGGTGTCAGTAAGCGCTTGGTTAATTGACGCATCGTGCACGAGTGACTGCTGCCGCCTTGTTGGTCAGGATGATGAAATATATATACTTTTTTTTTTAATGCTCACCCAAGGATGTTTTTTCCATTGATTGTTAGAGAGAGTGGAAGGGAGGGAGCGGAAGGAGAGAGAGGAACATCGATGAGGGAGACACATTGGTTGGTTGCCTCCCATGGTGGGGATCAAACCTATAACCCTGGTATGTGCCCTTGGCTGGGAATGGGGCCTGGTTCTAACCTCTGAGCCACACTGGCCCGGGCACAAAATACAGGGCGGGGCAAAAGTAGGTTTACGGTTGTGAGTACCCAAAACAGTTTATTCTTGTATTATTACTTATTGATTATTGTCTTATTTTTCATACAAACAACTGTAAACCTACTTTTTGTCCCACCCTATATGTTCTTATGTTCTCATGTTGGATCTGGAAATGTGGGTATCCATCCAGTTGGTGTGTTCTGTGCTGCAAATTAATCTTCAGCAGTATGACTTCAGCAAGTTAAAGAAAATGTGGCTATAGTATGTGTGTTCCCACAGGATGTCCCAGATGACCTTGACGGTGCCCCTATTGAGGAAGAACTTGATGGTGCACCTTTAGAAGACGTGGATGGAATTCCCATTGATGCTGCTCCCATCGACGACCTTGACGGCGTCCCTATAAAGAGTTTTGATGATGACCTTGATGGAGTACCTCGTAAGTTCAGACTGATTAAATCTAGCTAATAGGTTTGATTCCAAAACTCTTTAATTTCCATAATTAAAGCTGAAATGGAAAAGGTTTATAATTTCTGATTAAGACATCAGTCATTTGTGTTTTATTTCGCCCTTTTCAGAATTCAAATACAAGTGATTAAAATTGACTATGCCAAGAAAATGGCTTTCTTTTTGGTCACATTTCTTTGTTGGGACAGTTAGCCTTTTATATTAACAAGCTTCTCTTTTTGTCTTAATTGTCAGGAAACTAAAGGTCCAATATTGTGCTCAATTGTGTTCATAATCCCAGGTTCCTGGTTTTACCAGCTCTGTTTTTATTATTAGTCTTCCTGACTAATAGGTTTATTTTTACTAGCTGCCAAAAATCAGCTTTGGAAATAAGAATTATACACAGTCATTACATTTGAATTATGTTAAAATATTGCACAACATATGAAATCTATGATTTAAATAGTAAATAAGTAAAGGTATTAAAGATTCTTTTGCTTCCTTCTTGAATTTGCTTGAATTAATAATAACCTACATGTTCTGAGTTGACTTATATACTGTTTAAAAATTGGATCTCAGGTGCAAAGAATTGGATTAGTCATAATCCTTGTTTTTGAAACTAGAATTATTAGTCCATGTGTGGCCTGATTTTACTTTTTAATAATATACTGCAGTGATTTTCAATCTTTTCGTCTCATGGTATATGTAAACTCATTACTAAAATTCTGCAGCACACCAAAAAATACATTTTTTGGCTGTCTGACAAAAAATAGGTCTAATTTTGATTCATTCACACCAGACGGCTGTTGTTGGGCTGGCTGTTGTCATTTTTTTTTTTTTTTTTTTTTAAA